ACGGTGTCCCGTTACGGCGGTGTCGCAATTCAGAATCCACGGGGTGTCGGCTGATAATGCGAGCTCGTTACATCGAGGACATTGTTGCACCCCGGAGACACGTAAAGAGGCGAGAACGACCCCTCGCGATTTCACTACTCGCGTGAGAAATTCGTGGTCCTTCGAAGGGTTCGATCGAGCTCGGCGAGGAACTCGGTTGGAGAACGGAAAAAAAAAATTTCCGACGAATGCTTCCCACGTTCCGAGTCTTCGTTTAAATATTTCATCGACCGGGCGCGAGGCGAATGTAGGGTTGGCAAAAAGTGGAGGGAAGGGGATCGCGGGGCGAATAAGTTTAGCCCCTCTTTGCCGGCCGGCAACTTCTAATATAGAGAAGTTGACACATCGGGAAGCCATTGGAGAGCCGCCAAGAATCCGCCATCGGGGGTCTTTTCTCCTTTCGGTTGTCGGGGAACTCCGTAAAAGCCCGTAGTGGCTCGTCCGCGACTCTGGCCCGCGACCATTCGAAATTCCGTATAAAATCCCCGCCATTGCCAAGATACTTTCCGCGACGACCTGGGCTCTCGGGAGGGTACATTCTTTGAACCGCTTCCAAGAGAATGCCCCTAAATCCTCTCTTAATAAATTATGCAATAATGCCTCCGCTCGCTCGTGCCTCTTCGGAATTCCCTTCGTCTCCTCCCGCGTTATGAAACGATTTCGAGAGAATCGGGAATACTCTAGGAAGAGATTATCGTCCGTCCGAGGCGAGCACTATTTATCGCGTGAATATTCATCGTACGTCTGCTTGGAAAAAGTCTCGGCCTGGGCGCTTATCGGAATTGGCTCAGCCAGGGTGTCATCGCGATAAGCGCGCAACTAACGTCTGCTCGCGAATTAGTTTTAATATTTTTCTAACGTGCCCCCCCCTCACTTTCACGGCGATCGGATCGGCGATAGTCTTTTACGAGGAGATAATGCCCCTTCTTTCGATCTTATCCAGCAACCTGGTTGAGAGGCCTGCCGAAACGAGGTGAATTTTTGCGACGAAGTTGAGAGCCCCGGCATTCGCGCAGATATTTAATTAGTCGGAGATAATCCCGCGGCGTGACCCGTGGCGGAGTCGGTGCTCTATTCCGTGTCAAGGATGTAGACAATTGCGCCTTTCTCGCGGCTGCTGGGCCTTTATCAGCGACGCTCTTTATCCTATCCGGAGTGGATGACAGGCCCGCGATATCGGCAGAAATCGGCGGGCACGTGTAGAATCTTAAGTGGCATCTGCCCGACAGCTATCCGTCCTATCTACCGTCGAGGTTCTTTCATAGGCTCGTTAGAAATTTCTAACCTAATTAGAATTGCCCCCGAGCGAGCCGAGAGTGGTCTCCAAATTAATTTGGTAATATTTCCAAGCGCCTCCAATATTCGTTGAAAATATCTCCGGGAGGGATTAACCCCTTAACTCGAAGGGGGAGGCTTAAGGTGAAGTGAAACACGTCGAGGAACTTGATCTACGTCGATAAAGAAGATTTTTTTAAATGCCTACGTTGCCGACGTTGGTTTTTATATTGACAGCTGGGTCGAATTATATTGGGTATTGTACCAAATGGTATATTCCACCTGTCGTTTTCGTACAATAATTATTTAAGAAATCGAAGTAAAACTCCAGAAATCCTCTGGATTCATGCTTTCTGGGGCCCTAATTGACTGCAGAGGGACCCCCTGCGCAATCTGTGATTTCCAGGTGAATTAAATCTTCACTTCGAGACCTCGTATTCCCATCGTTTTAGCATAGAAGCGCATACAACACTTTTTTTGCCTTTGTCCCGTTCAAATGCGAGTTTATCGATTACCAGAGTGTTCTAAATTGTCGTAAAATTGTCCTGACCCTTTCGATTCTCATATCAGAGCCTTCGATAATTGTATATCGATCGAAATATAAGAGCTCCACACCATTTTGGTTCTGGTCTGGACTGAGTTAAAAAATTTGTTTGAAAAATCCAAATTTTCAATGTGTCAGGATGTCTTAGATGATCAGGAGTGATGTGTCAAAGTTTCGGGCAGTTTGGTCTAATACCCTTAAAAAAAAGTGTTGTACTCGAATCGACTGATTCGAAGGGGGTTTCACTTCACCTTAAAAATTCGTTCTCGGGTCGACCCGAAGTTCCCTCGTATCCGTCGGTCTTAACGTCAACCGGGTATGAACTTTCCGGGAAATCTCGCTCTCGAGGATGTTCCCCTGACGAAGCCGATTTTTCCGCCTTCCCGTGAAATTTCGCCGGAAACGGGGGATCCGGGGATCAACCCTTTCCTCTCGCTGACGTCAGCAAGTCGAATCCGCGTTAAACGAGCTCGGGGACCGAGAGGACGATTCCGGGGTTTCAACGGGTCTTCGGGGAAGGGGCCGAAAGGTTTATCGTTTCGTCTCGTTAATTTTGGCACAATACCGGGGAATCGGCCTCGCCAGCGAGAAATCCCCGCTTCCTCGACGGGGTCTTTCTCGGTTTTCACCGACGGAAATTCCGCGAGTGGTGCGGAATCCGCGGATAAACGGTTCCCCTCCGCCGTCGGCAGGGCGAATCGACTTCGGCCGAGAGGTGGGATTCGAGGGGCGATATCGAGATGGATATCGCTTCGATTCTTCCACTTCGAGACGACGAGAGTGGACGGGCGAATTCAGGCCGATGGCTTCTATTTCCGAAGTGTTTATCCTCGCTCTGCCAAACCCGATGAGAGTCCCCTGTTCCTTCCGCCTCCCCGGCCGGTCAGCCTTGCGGTTATTCCCAACGTTTCTTACTCCAACGGGCTAAATTCCGAAATTCGTCCATCTTATTTCCTGCCCCTTCGGTAAACCCTTTAAGGTGAAGTTAAACACCCTTCAAATCAGTCGATTCGAATACAAAACTTTTTTTTAAGGGTATTAGACCAAACTGTCCGAAACCTTGACACATCCGTCCTGATCATCTAAGAATTGTCCTGACACATTCAAGATTTGGATTTTTAAACAAAATTTTTTAATTCAGCCCAGGCCAGAACCAAAATGGCGTCGAGCTCTGATATTTCGATCAATATACAATTATCGAAGGCTCTGATATGATAATCGAAAGGGTCAGGACGATTTTACGACAATTTAGAACACTCTGGTAATCGATAAACTCGCATTTGAATGGGACAAAGGCAAAAAAAGTGTTGTATGCGCTTCTATGCTAAAACGATGGGAATACGAGGTCTCGGAGTGAAGATTTAATTGGCCTGGAAATCACAGATGGCGCAGGGGGTCCCTCTGCAGTGAATTAGGGCCCCAGAAAGCATGAATCCAGAGGATTTCTGGACTTTTACTTAGATTTCTTTATAATTATTGTACGAAAACGACAGGTGGAGTATACCATTTGGTACAATATTCAATATAATTCGACCCAGCTGTCAATATAAAAATGAACGTCGGCAACGTAGGCATTTAGAAAGATCTTCTTTATCAACGTTGTTCAAGTTCCTCGACGTGTTTCGCTTCACCTTAATCGCCGTTAAACAATTCGGCCGTCTCCGATAATCCCTGCGGGAGCTCGATCAACCGCAAACGGAACGATCTTCCAAGTGGTCCTCGTTGGTACCTTTCCTGGCCTCGACGTTCCAGGAGACGATTCCTCGCCGACCTTTGCAAAGCATTTTTAACCGCCCTGAAGGGGCGATTTTTTGCAAAGGCCAACTACTCGGGCGGTACTGCAGTTATCGTTTGTTCCTCCTGGAGGAACTACTCGGTTAACTGGAAATGTTGGAGGAATTTCCTAGGTGGTCGTAGCCGGTGCCTCCTCGGAGACTCGAAATTCCGGAGGACTCTCCGTATCGGAGGAGGCGAGCGGTAATGGAGGACGCGGATACCCCAGATAAATGGTAACGGTAATGGCGGATGAAGACGAGAGATAAATGGTAATGGTAATAGAGGATGAAGGGTTGCCTAGCTTTCCTCGGGGGGAGAGAAAACCGCTCCGCTCCTTCTTCGACTCTCCTTCCTTCCCTCACCTGGAGGGTCGTTGGTCGAAGGAAGAACTCTCAATGTCCTATCGTGGGGTTGCCGTTCTTATCGCCACCTTAATATGGCTCAAGGACTCGTGGTTGGAACGCCGAGAGGCTCATTGTTCGGGGGAATTTTTTTGTTTGCTCGGGGTAAACCATTGTGTGAACGTGTCAGGTGTTTTCGGAATCGCTTTCCATGTTTGCCCGATATCTCGATGATTCGATCGCGACTCCGACGACGAAAGTCCTCGAGGAGGGGGTCTGTTAATTCTCTAATTTTCGACATATTTATGCTGTTTATTATATTTTTATGAAGACGTGTACGCGGTCCCTCGTGCACCGCTGCCAACAATGTTTGAATTTAGCTCGGGCTGGCCGCGTAACGTAAGATGAAGCTAATTTTGGAAATGATTTTGTAATTAGCTTGCCAGGAACACGCGGCTCGGCCTGTGGACTTGAAATAATAGTTTCATTAGCTCTGGACAAGCTAATAACCTCGGTCTACATTCGGTCAGAAAAGTGCGTTAATATTCTAGCGAGCCAGGAGGTCGAAGACCTCCGGCAGTCGTGTAGCAACCGCGCCGAGCGGCTCCGGGGACAGAAATTCTTCGAGACGATTAGAATGGAAAATTCAAATTTCAGGAAGGAACATACGCGACGAGGGATCAAACTAGTGATTAGTAATAATTATCAGACCGGGGCAATTTTTCTAATTAATTTTTTTAAAATATTATCGACCGTTGCTACGAATTCTTTACACCTCTGGAGATTATCGGGGAAATCTGGTCACGCAAATTTGGTCGATTCAAGTTTTTGGCATAATGTCGTTTAGGGAAGTGTATCACTATAGATGGGAATTCCACATGCCCGGATAGCTCAGTCGGTAGAGCATCAGACTTTTAATCTGAGGGTCCAGGGTTCGAGTCCCTGTTCGGGCGATTTTTTTTCCTTTATCGACGCCATCGCTGATCGCTAACAAGAACCTGGACATGATTTATTGGCCAGTTTTATTTAATTTATTATTTTGATATTTCAACATATTTGCCGTTCGAGGCGAGAAGTGTTCCGGTAAATGTATCAAAGCCATTGCTGGGGCTCTTGGAGGAATATTAATATAATTTTTACTATCGAGTAGGATAGGGAGCATATAATTGTCGTTCAACCACTTCTGCGGTTCTAACGTACTGGTTCGAGGGAATATCTTCGTGGGTTACCTCGCTGGAACTTCCCGTTGTAGTAAGGGATGTATTGGCAGACCGCTTTCCAGTCGGTGAAATATAGCATCCCAAAAAATAAGGCTGCTCCGTATATCATCGTGGAGGTCTTCCTGAAAAAAAAGGTTAAGGTTCATCCTGGACAAGGCGCGCCTTCCTCGGAGCTTTTCCGACATTATCCCAGGCGAAAGCAACGGGAAAACGTTCCGGAAGCGATTTGACGGTTCATCCTACCGGAAACTCCGGGAATAAATGTAACGCGAGCGATTCGATTCGCCAGGACGATCAAACATCGGGAAACACCCTCGACCCGGAAGGGCGCCGAGAAAGGAACGATGTTTCCAGTGGACCGAAATATCTATTTCCGTTTCTTTTTCCCTCGAAACTTCGCGGCGTAGGTTTTGACACTCGCCGAAACTTACCACACTCGGGCCCTCTCGATGTACAATTCCTTTTTCGCCCAGTAAGGCGGGTCCTCTCCAATTCGGAACATCCCGTGGACGAGGTCAAAATTGCTCCGACTTGACGCGTCCTCGAGAGATTTCTCTCCTTCACCGAGGTTCAATTTTTTTTTCTCTTTTTTTTCGGCCTGCCGGATTCGCTCGAAATTATTATTACGGTAGACCGAGTGGCCGTGAATGGCGTACTCTCGTTAATCCATTTACGTGCACGTGCATCGACTAGGTCCAACCGAGGAAGTTCCGTGACAATTTTCTCGGGTCTTTTTGCCCGACTCGTTCCGCGGACGACCCGGACTCGCGAAGACGGTGGTATCGGTAAATGGTGGCTCGTTACGGTGAAACCGAAGTAATTGGACAATAAGGAAAGTGGATTCGTGCCGCTTCACGTGCCTAAATCAGGGAAGTGGAAAATTGCTTTGTTTGCCTGGTTTCGTTTGTTGAGTTCCTCGTCTTGATTTCTTTCAACCGCCGACGTCTCGGCTCGCTCTCGTGTCGAACTCTTTTTGCGCGCTCTCTCGAACCCGCCCTCTTCCTCTTTCCCCGGAAAAGATGACCGGACTAACGGTCTTCCCGACCGGCTTCGGGCTTTCCTCGACGTTTTGCTCCTTCCCCCGGAATTTTCTTCCCTTTCCGGCGATCCCCTTTTCTTTTCCACCGACCACGATTTCCGTTCTCCCCCCGCCGGGACTTGTTAGCTTTTCATCTTTCTCATGGTTTTCCTCCTCGATAACGAGATAAAGTCACGTGCCAATTATAATTTCCTAACCCTTCGCGGGCTCGGTCGAATTAGCAATTTCATCGAGGTCCCTCGATTTTTAAGCGGAAATCGATCCTCGACGTTTCCCTTTTCGGCACTCCCTCGGTTACTTTACTCTTCGTTTATTTTCCCCGATCGATGGCCAGGCATTGTCTTCGAGTTCGCGCAACCCCTTCGGCCCCGTCAGTCTAAGTAAGAACCGTCATCGAGAAAATGAGAGGCCCTCCGCAAATGACTCCCTCGTTCCTTCGGCTTCCCAGGAGTGGAGGGCGTTCAGGGGGCAGCAACAAAGCGTAACGCGGTACCCTCTTGAACAACAATGACCGAGCATTTTGCTCCTCGTAGAGCCGGGAAGGCTTCGAGAACTCCCCTGCTCGGCGATCCTGCGAGCCGGTGCTTTGAAAAAAAAAAAAAATTGGAATACCAAGATCACCCAAAAATTGAATTCGAGTCGAGATCGGGTCGGGTTAAACGTGTGGCGAGATGCAGAAGGAGTGCCGCAGCATCCGCGGTTTTTTTTCTCTCCTTTCCGGGCCCAAAGGTGAAACGCTAAAAAGCGTGAATTTCTCATCCGACTCGAGCCGCGTCGATGCCTCGGCGTGCAACGCGCGCGGTCGCAAGCGGCACGATTGGCACGCAGCGGGACGGACGGCGAGAGCGCAGACTGCGCGGGGCCACGCGGCCGAGCGTGGCTCTTCCTTCTCTCTCCGTCCTCCGCGACTCCCGCTTGCGTCCCTCTCTCTCCGACACCTGGACTTCCCGACCGATCCTCCTCTTCACCTGTAGAAATTTTCGCGGTCTCTCTTTCCCGTCCCTTCCCCGGCCTTATCGCTCTTCCTGCGCTCCAAAGTAGGAGTGGCGGAAGCACGTCGCCGGTCCGTTTGCGTTTTCCTTCCCTCCGTCTCTCTCGAGCCCCCTCTCTTTTCTTCTGGTATACCTGTCGCCGTCGCTTCTCCTCCCCCTCCCGGACCGCGCCCTCTCTCCGCCGAGGAGGAGGTCGCGCTAAGGGGAGCCAACCTCTTAGTTTACGTAACCTCCTCTGCTCGGGGTAATTGCCGCAATAGTTCCTCCACGGTTTGCATCCTCGTGCCAACGCTGTCCGTCGCTGATACCGGGCGATCCCCTTTTCCGGCCGAAATTCCACGAGGTGAATTATCTCCGTGAAATTTCTAAACCTCGGTACGCCGCCACCATTGACCGCTGGACGCGGAAAATTGCGCGAAATGACGTCAGGAGGGGGGTACCGTGACGCGGGACGATAGACTTTTTCGAGCGGGGAGTAAATCCCGTTATGCGTCGTTCCAGTTAGCGTTCTAATTCTGGATTTTATAATTCTGGTAATTATTCCACCGGGGGTGGGGCAACGCATCGTTTCTTCTCGGGTTTGTTCCGCGAGTCCGTTATCGGGCCGCCCTAATTGCCAATTTTACGTACCTCCCCGCGCGGTCAATCCTCCGAATTAATTAAATAAAATTAGGGTTAATCTTCCGCGATCCTTCCGAGTCCTTCCGGGAGTTCGGCCTCCGAAGACGGGGCCCAGGCGCGATGGAGCGATCCGCTCGGTTATCTCGTTAATTCCGAGCTTACGGACGTCAGCGGTATCTCTCTTAATGGCGACCCAACTGCGAAAACAATGAGCCGACAGCTGCGGCCGCGGGCTCCGAGGCCCTGAGATTTCCGAAGAGGAAGAAACCTCGGCGAAGCGTCGTAACGATGCGGCCGCGATGCTAATTTTCGCTAAGTGCGCCCGAGAGATATCGGCGACGCGAGGCACGCGTGAGCGCGTGCCCGGGCGTCGGCACAGAGCGGCGCACAAAACAGCACGCGAGATACATACCTAATTGGAGCAAACCGTGCCCCCGGTCTTCCGCCGTCTTGGCTGACTCACCGAGTCGCCGCCTTGCTCCCCGCTGCTCGATCGATCGACTCCGATGTCGATGAGATCGTTACGAGTCGATAGGGAATCGACGGTTCCTCGTGCTCTTTGAACCCCAGTCATGCGGAAAAATGTGAGGAAAAAAAAAGGCGAGACGATAATTCGCTATCGGTTTTGGACCCTGCGCAAAATAGACCAGCTCCCTCGTTTCGGGACGATTAAGGTGAAGTGAAACACCCTTCAAATCAGTCCATTCGAATACAACACTTTTTTTTAAGGGTATTCGACCAAACTGTCCGAAACTTTGACACGTCACTCCTGATCATCTAAGAATTGTCCTGACATATTGAAAATTTGGATTTTTGGAAAAAATTTTTTAATTTAGCCCAGACCAGAACCAAATTGCATCGAGCTTTCATATTTCCATCAATATATAATTATCGAAAGCTCTGATATGAGAAAAGAAAGGGTCAGGACAATTGTATGACAATTTAGAATACTCTGGTAATCGATAAACTTGCATTTCAACGGGATAAAGGGAAAAAAAAGTGTTGTATGTTCTTCTATGCTAAAACCGTGGGAATACGAGGTCGCGGAGTGAAAATTTAATTCACCTGGAAATCACAGATGGCGCAGGGGGTCCCTCTGCAGTCAATTAGGGCTCCAGAAAGCATGAATCCAGAGGATTTCGGGAGTTTTACTTCGATTTCTTGATATTTCTTGTACGAAAACGACAGGTGGAGTACGCCATTTTGTACAATGCCGAATATAATTCGACACAGCTGTAGATATAAAAACGAACGTCGGCAACGTAGGCATTTAGAAAAATCTTCTTTCTCGTCGTCGAGCAAGTTCCTCGACGTGTTTCACTTCACCTTAAGGTGTTTGTATATTGATCGAAATATGAGAGCTCGACGCCATTTTGGTTCTGGTCTGGGCTGAATTAAAAATTTGGTTTAAAAATCCAAATCTTGAATGTGTCAGGAAAATTCTTAGATGATCAGGAGGGATGTGTCAAAGTTTCGGACATTTTGGTCTAATACCCTTAAAAAAAAGTGTTGTATTCGAATCGACTGATTTGAAGGGGGTTTCACTTCACCTTAAACGGCGCGATCGCGGGCCTCGGTGGAAAGATGGAAATTCGAAACCGCCGCGGAGTCAGTTACCGGGGAATAAATCACCCTTGCTAATGCATCGGCGGAATGCAGTTGAATTAAGTCGGTTCGAGTCGATATCCCATTCCGAACGGATTCCCTGGTCGGGAGGATAAAGAGATCGTTGGGAGAATTGTACGAGATCATCGCCGAGGGTATTCGTACGCGAGGCTGCAGAAATAGGAATAACGACTTATTATACGCGTTATGAAACCGCGAATAACTCGGCGGTTAGTTCTTTGAATGGGTAATTGGATGGCTCGTTTTCCGGAATGCGTTTAACGATGCTAAACCTCCGGGCGATTATAAACGCGATGACTGCAGATTTGGCGGATTTTACGATACGTTTACGTGCCGCGCTAACGACCGTCGTTACGCCGAGGAGTAATTATTTAAAGAACGCTCACGATTCCTATTTCATCGGGAAACGCGCTCTGGAAGGAAATTTAATAGCGGGGCAGAGTGTACAAAGCGATGTCACCGATGCTTGGCCGGGATTGTGAAATATCGACAGCCGAGTCCCGATTGGTCCGATCGGCCGGAGCATGTCCCTCGTAATGTCGCGTCGAATCATCGGTATCACAGGTGCACTCCCGTAATGCACCGTAGCGTACTTAACCTCAACTCCGCGATATACCCAGGTGTGCCCGATCCACCGGTAAGCGATCCTTATCGATCGGTTGTTAAGATCGAGCGTTTGCGGCGAGCTCGCGGAAATCCGACCCGCGAATCGCTCGTCGGGGAAGGTCTGACCCAGATTGATTATTCTAAGGCTGTCTCTAAGGTATCTCCTCGTAATTAAAAAAAAAAATTCAAATTCAATTATATCCCCGCAACGCACCCAGGGAATTTTACCGGATTCGCCCATCGACCAATCTCGAAAAGTTAGCGCAATCGCAACTTGGAGACCGATATCAGGGATTCGTCCTGCGTCGTAGCGGCAATTAGTAATGACACGTTATCGGGGGGATATTGCTTCTTAATTATTGAAGCTTCATTGTCCTTCGTCTCGCTCTCCCGATATCTCTTGCCTTCCTATTCGTTTCGCAATGCCGCCGAAGTGTTTGGACGCTCGACGATGCCTCTTAACCCGTAACCTCCGGGGACGCGGAATCTATAAAATAATTAAACAATAAACGTTTAATTCGGCAAATTCCGCTCCGGCGAGGAAAGGTCAATTAAATCGCCGGACGAGTACCCGGTCGATTCGGATTTCCCGATGCAAGGTACGCGAGAAAAAACGTTAATTAAAACGCAATGGCGACCCAGGGCAGCCGATCGATGCC